CACACACACACACACACACACACACACACACACACACACAGACCTCAGAATCTATATTAGTGTGAGCACATCTCATAGTCGCAGTGGTTTCCATATTCATTTAAACGGATAGTTCACCCAGAAATGTAAATTCTCTCATCATTTACTCATCTTTCTTCTGTGGAATGCAAAAGCAGATCATTTGAGAAATGTTTTTTTGTCCATATAATGAACGTCAGTGAGCTCCAATGTTTTTTTGGTTCCCAACATTATCCAAAATACTTTATTTTGTGTTACACAGCAGTAGGAAAGTAATACAGGTGTGGAATGAGGTGAGGGTGAGTAAATGTCGATCTGTCTCTTTTATTGATAAACTGAGTCTCATACAAATGATGGTGAAATTTAAAGCAGATGTAGGGACGTGGGGGTCAGGGGTCAAGGTTTAAGGTTAGGGTCACTGGTCAACATGATTGACTGGTTATGACATGTTGGCACTCACAGGTTTAGACAAACACCCCACAGCCTTGGTTTGTGCTCATTTATACAGCAACATGATTATACATATACCAGTTTAATGACTCTGGATTGTCACAATATAAAAACAGGAAACGTACTTCCTACAAACTGAAAAAGGTTTCCTCCTGAAATACATATTCGCATGAAGCACGCATCATTCAGATACAGTGGTGCATTGTATTCTTCATTTATGTGCATCTATGTAACACGCTGTCCATCATCGGTCGCTCAGCGGCGCGCGGACACACACAGCCGCTGGAGCACGGAGAATATCCCGGAAATATTATATTTCGCAGATCATTATAATTTTTCTCGGCTTGGCGTGTTCCAGTCGATGTCGTATTTACTGTCGTGCGCGCTGAGGTGACTGACGCACCCCTCCTGTGAGAGATGGTTCAGCCTCCTTTGATCACGCGACAGCACCGGAGAATCTGAGGTGTTTTCACCGGATCGCGCTGAGAGCAGGCTGCAGCGGCGGCTCCGGGGGTCTGACGTCACTCGCTCTCCGCCGCTGATGTTCCGGTGATGAAGGCTGACAGAGGACGCGTGTTCCGCGGTGAAACATGACACAGACCGAGAGCGAGAGGCGGCGGCGCTTGTGTTTCTGACACGGTTTGAGCGGAATCACAATTCACCGATCCTCAGCGATCCTCGATGCGTCTCTGCGCCAGCGGATTATCATTCATTTGTCTGATGCGTTCATGAACTGTCACCTGAGAAACAGCCGCAGGACTTCATGATTCTGAGCCGCAGCGTCTGATGGTGATTACACGTCTCTTCTCGTTATGTGATCTTTAAATACATTAAACTGTTGTAATTTTGATTTTAAACTTATTGGATTTACATACATAAGAGCAGAATCACTGTAAATAGTTGGAATACAAATCTTGTTCTATTTCTCTCTGACCCGAAGGTGAGCTGCGAGTGTCCAGAGCTGTCAGGATCCGGAGAGTAACGTTAAACCGGCCGCAGATGAAGGAGGCGTGTCGCATCTGCGCACACGAGCTGCGCGGAAACCAGCGGCGATGGATCTTTCATCCGGCCGCCAAACTCAACCTGCAGGTGCTGCTGTCTCACGCGCTGCGCCGCGGTCTGCAGCGGGACGGACGCCGCGAGTTCATCTGCAGCAAGTGCTGCTTCATGCTGGACCGCATGTTCCGCTTCGACACGGTGATCGCGCGCGTGCAGGCGCTGTCCCTCGAGCGGCTGCGCAGACTCCTGCAGGAGAGAGAGCAGCTGCGCCAGTGCATCACTGCGCTTTATAACAAAAACAATGGGCTGGAGTCATCGGGGCCGACGGAGGCGGTGCACGGCGAGTACTGTGCGCTGCTGCAGGAGGATCTGATGTACTGCATGCAGGAGTCCTGGGCAGGAGACGAGGAGGAGGCGCTGGAGTGCTCCCACAATCCTCGGTGCAGCAGGTGCAGGGACTGCAGGGCGCTGCGTGTGCCTGACTCGCACTACGAGGCCGTGTGTAAGGTGCCCAGGAAGGTGGCAAGGAGCATCTCCTGTGGCCTGTCGTCGCGTTACTCGGCCAGCGGTGCTGACGAGCAGACCACGACCTCGAACACACTCCTGCCTGAGACGAGTCTGTCAGACAGTCAGAGCAAACTCCGAGACTGCGAGAGCTGCGCCGTCTCACTGCAATCGCTGGACAAGAGTCACAGAGCGTCTGAGGAGCGTCTTGCTGCGTCTGAGGAGCATCTCGGAACGTCTGAGGAGCGTCTCGCTGCATCTGAGGAGCGTCTCGGAGCGTCTGAGGAGCGTCTCGCTGCATCTGAGGAGCGTCTCGGAGCGTCTGAGGAGCGTCTCGCTGCATCTGAGGAGCGTCTCGGAGCGTCTGAGGAGCGTCTCGCTGCATCTGAGGAGCGTCTCGGAGCGTCTGAGGAGCGTCTCGCGTTCGCTCTGTCGCTGCTGCAGGACTGTGTGTACAGGCCCATCCGGACTCAAAGGGGCAGCAAGCTTCCTGTTTTGATGAATCCTGCTTTTTCTAATGAAAGAGATACATTGGACAGTCCAGACCAAGAGAACCTGTTTGACGGAGCGAACCGCATGCTGGAGGAGCCGGAGCTGGGTCTGGTGCTGGAGGAGCTGTGGGAGCAGGAGGAGTACCTGCCCTTCTGTCTCAGGAGCCTCCCGAAGGTGAAGCGCTTTCTAATGGGACAGTAAGATCACTCAGATGACGCTCCCCACTAGTGCTGTCAAACAATTAATCACGATTAATCACATCCAAAATAAAAGTTTCTGTTTACATAAAATATGTGTGTATACTTGACCATGATCATGTTCCATAAAGATATTTTGTAAGTTTCCTATCGTGCATATATCAAACCTTAATTTTTGATTAGTAATATGCACTGCTAAGAACTTAATTTGGACAACTTTAAAGATGATTTTCTCAATATTTAGATTTTTTTGCTCCCTCAGATTCCAGATTTTCAAATAGTTGTATCTCAGCCAAATATTGTCCTATCCTAACAAACCATACATCAATGGAAAGCTTATTTATTCAGCTTTCAGACTGATTAGGGTTCAGATAGATTGATGATTAGCGTTAAATTGACCCTTATGGTCCAGGGTCACATATAATTTATATTATATATAAATAGATTTAATATAAAACATTTTACTTACATATATACATGTATGTGTGTGTATTTATATATACATAATGAATATACACAGTACACACACATATTATGTAAACCAAAACGTATTTTGGAAGCGATTAATCGTTTGACAGCACTAATCCCCGTGCGGTTTGTGCCGAGAACACTGTGTTTTGTGCGTGCAGTCATTTACAAACACTATTGTCCCGTTCTGTCTTTGTCATGTTTTGTACGATATTAAGTTGTTGTATTGAGTTGCTACTTGAATCCTGAAGTAAAAACAGTTGGAAAGCACCAAACTAAAAAACATCTGCAGTGTTTGAGGACATTCGGGTAATGTTCAGACGTCTTTACTTACTGTATTTTGGGTCCAGCACATGATCTGCTTATAAGCAAAAGCAAAAGCAGCAGAAACCTCTTGATTCATTTTAAACCCTTAAAGCTTAAAGCTCAAACTGTTCCTGCTGGATATCAGTGCTATAAGAGCCGATGAATGAAGTCACTGTTAGAGCCGTACCATCATCACATCACTGATGTTTTGTTCTCACATCTCTCTTTTAAACTCGCGGAAGTCTCCAATGTTAACCCAATGATAACCATGCCATTTTCAGTTAAATAGGTTAACATGGAGAGCGTGGCCTAGTTCTCTCTCAAAATCCTGAGGGAGCACACACACACACATGCGCACACACACACACACACACACACACACACACGCACACACACTCAGACACACACACACACACTCAGACACACACGCGCACACACACACTCTCTCAGACACACACACTCAGACACACACGCACACACACTCAGACACACGCGCAAACACACACACACGTGCGCACACACTCACACACACACACATGCTCTCTCAGACATACACACTCACACACACACAGAGCGACGTCTGACCTCAATGTATCCCAGTTAAAGCACCTCAGATGCTTCAGAATAAACGCAGTGAGATTAAACTACAGTCCTGCACCATTTAAACCAGATTAGAATCATTTACTAACAGCTTTCTCAAACATGGACCCTCAACACACTTTTAATTAAATTCTTCAACCAAAATTGCTGTTATTTGATCAGTGTCTAATATCAGCTGATATTAAAACCAAATAAAATCAGGGCTCATTTTTCTCATTGCTTATACAATAAAATATGACTGTTTTCAATAGTATGCATCTGATATTAATTTTTCTGTTGAACATTAAAATGATTTGATGTTTGGTTTACTGTGTGTTGTAGAGTCTGATAGAAGAGCAGCAGCTGCATCAGTACGAGCACGCCGCTGGACAGTGTGTGAATGAACTGCAGCAAGCACAGCTACAGCTCGAGTCTCTGCAGAACCAGATCCACGAGAGCGAGACCAGCAACCAGGTAACAGAGCTACATTACCCACAATATCCAACAACCAGCAGAATACTGTCTCCTTAGAGATCACATTATATGTGTGCGTTTTTATTTATTTCTGCATTTATATCTGGCAGAGAGAGGTGTGAGGGTTGATCGGTGTGTGTTTGTTTCTTGTGACTCAGGTGCTGCAGGAGAAACTGTGTGAGATGGAGTCAGAGCTCCGGTCCATCAGACAAGCTGCTCAGAACCAAGAGAGAACCATCCAGAACCTCACAGACAGCCTGAGAACTAAAGACACAGAGGTCATTACACACACATCACAAAAGAGACGTCTAGTGTATGTGAACAATGTGTTTCCTTCTCCTAACCCGTCAGTAACTGAGTGATTCAGTCAAAAAGAAAGTTAAGGAGTCTCTTAAGATAAATTCTGAAAATATGCCTAAATGCAATTATTAAAAATGCATAAAAGTTCTAAAATAAATAAATAAAATATTTAAAAATATATTCTCTTAAGAACATTTGTGTTGGTGAAGTAGCTGACAGGGCTAACATGTTATCTGAAATGTTTGCTAAAGATTCAACGTTGATCAACTCCATAAACTCAATAAAAAAATAAATAAAATAACACAACTCAACAGCTTTTCGATTGAAGTTCAGGTTTGTAATGTGCTGTGTATTTAAAGTTGTTATTTGTAAAAATCCTGTTTTAGTTACTGTATCTGTGCTGTATGATTGGCTTGATTAAGAAGTATAAAGAAACGGGTTCCTTATCTGAGCAGATATTTTGAAGAATGTGGGTCACCAAACAGTTGCTGGTCACATTGACTTCTATTGTATGGAAATAATGATAATTTTCATTTTTGTGTGAACTGTCCCTTTAATTATGATGATTTTTAGGAACATTCTTTTCAGGAATTCTTCATAAGTTTTAGCATTAGAACAATCTTAAGAAAGGATAAGAACATTCTTAAGTAATGTTTTTTTTACTACAAAATATTCTAATAAATTTATTAAGTTACAAAATAAAAGTAAACTATCAATTAAGAAGAATTTATTCTTAAAGGGGTCATATGATGTGATTTCAAGTTTTCCTTTCTCTTTGGAGTGTTACAAGCTGATTGTGAATAGATAAGATCCCTGAAGTTGCAAAGACTAAAGTCTCAAAACCAAAGAGATATTCTTTATCAAAGTTAAGACTCTGCCACACACCCCTAAAACGGCTCGTTCTAACAGACCCCCACATATCTACCTCACTATGTGGAAATATTTGCATAATGTTGCCCAAATGTGCACGCAAAGAAAGAAGGCGTGGTTTCAGTAACCGCAGTTAGTGTTGAAGCAGCATGTCAGGGAGACGCTGTGTGTTTCTAGGCGAAAGCAAAAGCACTTTATTTGGCCTTCCGAAAGTAGATGCATTTAGGAATCTTTAAGATCACTTACAACAGAACAGCAATGCATTTTATGGACGACCGTTTCGTCAACATATTCTGTTACACCAAATACACCAAATAATGATCTTTAAAAAAGCATCATATGACCCCTTTAAGAATGTTTTGTGAATCCAGTCCTTGTTCATTCCAGTTCTCAGTCATTGTTTTCTTCTCTGTGTGTGTGCGTGTGTGTGTGTGTGTTTGTGTCCTCACCTGTGTGTGTGTGTGTGTGTACGTTTGTCCTCACCTGCATGTGTTTGTGTGTGTGTCCTCACCTGTGTGTGTGTGTACGTTTGTCCTCACCTGCATGTGTTTGTGTGTGTGTCCTCACCTGTGTGTGTGTGTGTGTGTTTGTGTGTGTGTGTGCTTGTTTCCCAACCTGTGTGTGTGTGTGTGTGTGTGTGTTTGTTTGTTCTCACCTGCATGTGTTTGTGTGTGTGCTCACCTGTGTGTGTGTGTGTGTTTGTGTTTGTGTGTATGTGTGTGTGTGTGTGTGTGTGTGTGTGTAGACTCAGGAGCTGTACCACGTGATTGAGGGCCAGAACAACACACTGCGTAAAATCACAGAGACCCACCAGCAGCAGCTGCAACACACACAGGTGAGCACACACACACACACACACACTCACATTAAAGCCGTGACGTTGGTGTTGCTAGCATCATGCTGCACTGTTTGCTCTGCAGCAGCTCCTAATGAATGTTTCCCTCCGTTTCTTTTTAGACTCCAGAGGGTGGTGTGGACTCGGGTTTGGTTCTGGGCTCCCAGAGTTCTCTGTTCTCGTGTCAGCTAGAGTTGGAGGCGAGTCAGCGCGCTCACAGACTGACTCAGAGACGTCTGGAGGATCTGACGCGAGAGCGAGAGCGACTGCAGAATGACTTCCAGGAGGCGCTGCAGCACAGAGACGTCAGCCACAAACACAACCAGGTGAATCTGCTTTACCTGCACGCTGAACCCAGCTAATCTCACCGTGATGTGATAACAGGTGTTTTCCAGCACATCCAAGTGCTGCAGATGTCACTGTTATTGGTTTGTTTGTTCCTGTTTCACTTCCCGTGGATGAGGTGCTGCTTTCATTTTGCCTCGATGTGAAACACTTATTGGTGATGTTTGTGAATGAAGCAAAATATGAACTGATATTAATGTATTACATTTTTTGTCATGTTTTTAGAAATCATGTCATGACTACATGACGGCCCTCAGTTCTGTAAATATAATGTGAACACGATCTATAGACAGTCAGTGAGAGTTTTGGAGCAACACCAAAAATAGAAGATGAGACAATAGGAATGTTTTGGAAACCATCATTGTTTCTGTGATTCTGAGTGTGTGTGTGTGTGTGTGTGTGTGTGTGTGTTACAGGAGCTGCGTGAGATGGTTGAGCAGCTGCGGTCTGAGCTGCAGGTCAAAGTGTGTGAGCTGAGAGATTGTGAAGCCTCGACTCGCTCAGAAATCACTGACCGGGACAAAAGCATGGCACAGCTCCAGCAGAGCTTATGCCGCAAAGACGTGCTGCTGCAGGTTACTCTCCCCTTCATACTCTAATGAAGACGGGACCTTTCTTGTGGTTTTTGTCAAACTTCAGCTGTGTTTTTCTTCCAGGAGTATGCAGAGCTGCAGAATGACTCGTGTGACTCCAGCGGCCGCGAGGACAGAGACGCACTGCTGCAGATGCTGAGGAGCCGCATCCGAGACAGAGACGCCGTGCTGGAGGTGTGTCATCCATCACATCTATTCTGTGCTGTCTGGGTCTTGTAGCCCCGCCCACAGTGAAATTCTATTGGTCCAAAATCTGAGTTAGGTAGCTCTAATTAAAATCAAATATGTTCTGATTGGCTGAGCCTTGAAATAATGGAAGCATTCAGTTCAGTTCTGTCCTGGTCCTGGGGACCCATTGCTTTGCACATGTTGTGTGTCTCCTTTATTTGACACACCTGATTCAGATCATCAGCCATGAACTGAGCTGAGTGTGTCAGATAAGAGAGACATACAGAATGAGCAGAGCTGCAGGATTGAAAACCCCTGCGCTATTCACACTGTTAGTGCATCTGTGTAAATACTGGTGTCACGTGATAGTGATGTGATGAAACGTCTATCGGTGAGTGTTAAAGCTGAGTGTGTGTTTGTGCGTGATTCCTCAGATCGTGTGTGTGCTGCTGCTCAAGTGATCAGATGCACCACTCTCCTTTTCTTCTGGAAGTCTAGCTGAAATCTGTGTTGTGTTTCAGCACTCAATTGATGAGAAGTTCCGCTGTCTGGAGGAGAAGGACGGTGAGGTGCGTCGACTGCAGCTGGTGCTCCGCGAGAAAGACCGAGACCTGGAGAGACTGCGCTGCGTCCTCGACAACAACAACGACACCATCACGGTATGTGTCACGACCTGCGCTAATGCACACACTGTCTGCTTAAGTGTGTCTGAACTCTGAACTCTGTGTGTGCAGGGTTTGGATGCTCTGGTGCACAGTAAGGATCTGGATCTGGAGAGAACACAGGAAAGCTGCCGGAAACTGGAGTGGATGAAACAGCAGAGCGATGAGAAACACACACTCGCTGTACGGGAGAGAGACGGCATCATTCATCAGCTGCAGACGGCGCTGCACTCACACAGCAGAGAGAGCGAGGTAACACACAAGCTAGGCTAGTCTCAAGCACCCTACAGCGGTGCTTTCTGTCTGTTCAAAACATCTGATCACCTCATGAACACAAGCAGCAGGATCTCCGCTTGACTGCTGTTTACATTTCTGCATTCAGCAGACGCTTTTATCCAAAACTACTTGTGTTACATTCAGGGAATGTGCTTTATCGGTCGCATTCAAACCCGCGCCGCCGCTGGCGTTATACTCTACTGGAGTGTCTCGATCATAGCTTTGTATCTGTTTGAACACTTGTTTCCCGGTGCACTGATATGAACGTGCACAGAAATGTCTGAAGGATGCGTAAAAGCAGCCAATCAGATTAGAGCTTGTAATTTCAGCAGCTCATGGCATTTCTGAGAGGGATACGCATCAGACGGTTAACGCTACACACACTGACACACACACCAAACACACCTGCGCACACTTTAAACAAACACGGCCGCTCGTGACGGGTGTGTGTGTGTGTGTGTGTGTGTGACTGACCGTCAGTCTGTTGCTCTGTGTTTGCAGGAGCTCAGGTCAGTGCTGCTGGGAGAAGTGTCCGCCACTGACGTGCTCCAGGAGCTCCAGTCCCATCTGTCCGTGAAGGAGCATCTGTTTCAGGAAGTGATGTCAGACCGCAGCCGGCAGACGCAGGAACACCACAGACAGCTGACGGAGCTGCTCCACACCATCAGCTCCAGAGATCAGGACATGAAGGTGCAGCTGATCGTCAGGAACACACTTCATAACTGTCTGCTGGCTGGTTTCTTTATCATGTTTGACGTGTTCTGGTCTCTCAGGATTATGGCCAGCGGTTGGGCCGGGTGATTTCCGAGCAATCGGGTCAGTTGCAGGAGTTGCGCCGACAGCTAGCGTCACGAGAACAGGAGCTGAATGACGTGAACAGGCAGCGAGAGAAAGATGTTTCTGCGTCCAGGGAGCTGCAGAGACTTCAGGACGTTCTCAAGGAGAAAGACGCCTTTATACAGGTCAAACACACACACACACACACACACACACACACTCAAGGGAACCTCATGAAGGACGTGCCTTTATAGCTGTTCGGTGAAAGAGAATCAGACTAAATAAAAACAAACTGACATTTTTGTGCTCCGTCTTCCTTTTTCTCATTTAAAATTTCAATTTGCAATTTCAAGTTTTCCTTTGACTTTGGAGTGTTACAAGCTGTTTGTGCATATATAAGATCCGTAAAGTTGCAAAGACTAAAGTCTCAAACTAGGGTTGCTGCCATAGATGGTGTTGACGGTTTTACCGGTGTGAAGCCGCAACACCGGTTATGTCACTTGTCCATTGTGGCACCGCCCCTCCGTCGTTTTGATTTTTTATAGTAATAAAAATCATTTAGTTCAGTTAGAGCACAGACACTACAATTAAAACTGAACGTGGCTGCTCAGTGCAGCGTGCCGAACAACAGTCGCATCACAGATCAGATTTCATTTATCATGTGAGGAGAAGCTGACAAGAAGAGTGAGGTGAGACAGACGAGACGAGACGAGATGATGGCAGAAGAGTTTCAAAAAGACATGCAAAAGCGCCTGTTTTAAACATATTTTGGATTTTGAAAAGCCTGTTGTCTTCTGCCATTTATCTAAGGTTTTATTGGAAGTTTTTTTAAACATTTGTTTCTTATTTATTTGATTCCACAGTGTTTGCTGATTTTTATTTATTTAAATTGTGTTATTATTTTTTTACACTGTGCGTCAGTGTACCGCGGTAATGATGGGCTGGGCGTCAGTGTACCATGGTAATGATGGGCTGTGTGTCAGTGTACCGTGGTAATGATGGGCTGGGCGTCAGTGTACCGTGGTAATGATGGGCTGGGCGTCAGTGTACCACGGTAATGATGGGCTGCGTGTCAGTGTACTGTGGTAATGATGGGCTGTGTGTGTGCAGGAGTTACTGCGGGGTCCAAGTGAGATGTTGAACTCCACACTAGCACCAGCTCATGGTGAGTTTCACTGCGGTACCTCCCACATTTGATCAATTAAAATGATTGATTCACTTCATTCTGTGTGTGTGTATGTGTGTGTTTATGGTGAGCAGCCGTGTGTACGAGCAGCTCAGGTGATCTGGATGTACAAGCCATCAGAGATGAACTACAGCTGACCCTGAAGAAAGACAGAGAGACTGAGGTAAAACACACACACATATCATCTACATCATGTACACACATGTAGATCATGTAATTTTTACCTAGTTTTCACTTTTCACAATCCATGTCCTAAACTTGGGAAAACATTTCCTATTACTGTGTTCATTGAATAAATGAAGTGATTCTTTAAAGTTCTTTAGTCAGTAAATTAATGTTAGCAAGGACAATGACTCAATTAAAATTTGTATACAATTTATGAATGTACATTATTCTAGTTATACTCCACAGTAAATCATAAACAACAAGTGAAGTCATGGTGCTTTGAAATGTTGTGTACAGTGGGGGGATTTGGAGTTAAAAAGGTTGAGAAACACTGTAGTAATTGTTTTTCTGTCCTTGTGTGTGTGTGTGTGTTTAGCGGGAGCTCTCAGAGATGCGCTCGGTTCTGGCTGCAGGGCGTTACGACACATCAAGCTCTGATCAGCAGGTAACATCATGAGACAGCGTGTGTGTGTGTGTGTGTGTGCGTGTGTGTGTGCATGTGTGCACTTACGTTCTGTATGTGTGTGAGTGTGTGTGTGTGTGTGTGTATACTTGCGTTCTCTCTCTCTCTGTGTGTGTGTGTACTTACGTTCTGTGTGTGTGTGTGTGTGTGTGTGTACTTGTGTTCTCTCTCTCTGTGTGTGTGTGTGTGTGTGTATGTTCTTACGTTCTCTGTGTGTGTGTGTGTGTGTGTGTGTGTGTGTGTCAGTGTGTCCTGCAGCAGCTCGTGTCGGAGCAGCAGGCGCTGAATGAAGCTCTGAGAGCAGAGAAGAGTGTTTATGAGAAGCTCAGACGTGTCCAGAGTCAGGACGACAGGTCAGAACTCCAGCACACACTCACACTGTGCTCTGTGTTAAAATCTATCACTCATGATGCTGATCTGTGTATGAATGTGTTCTTGAAACTGTGCCATTTTTGAGTAGTTCAGGAAAATTCTGTAATTCACTCACTGTCGTGACTCTCCAGATCCGTTTCTTCTGTGGATCTTAAAGGATCTGCTGTAGATTTTTATGTATTTGTGCTTCTGCACAAGTATATGTGGACCTAAGCATAATGGAATATTTGAAGGATTAAATATGATACATGTCCGGTTGAAACCGAAGTTTTTAAGTGCATGTAAATGCACCCAATAACAAAGGTCTGTCAAACTCAAAATGATAAATACATCCGAGTGGCAAATAGTAAAAAAAAAACATCATAATAGTCGTCCATATGATATGACTCATGCATTCAAAGTCTTCTGAAGTCATGTGATGCTTTGTGTGAGGAAGAGACTGATATTAAACCAGTTTATCGCTGAAAATATCTGTCTCTGCTGAAGCTTTCAGATCTCACACTCAAACCTGTGCATCATGTTTCACATGATATCAGCAAGTGCAAAAAAAGAGAGAGTGCGTGTTGACAGAATGTTCACTGTTGTCTGAACTCTTGCTTTAAGAGCTGAAGAGTTGTGTGTGAGTGGTTCTGTTCTGACGTGTCTGTGTCGTTAGCAGCGCTGAGAAGCCTGGCGCGCTACACGCCGAACTGGACTCGCTTCAGGCGCTGCGCCAACAGCTGGAAGAAACCCTGACGAGGGCCCGCGAGACGGCGCTGGTGCTGGATCGGGCCGCGCTGATCCAGACCGACTATGGAGGTGGGACACAGCAGAGGCGCTAACTCTGAATGAACCGCTAGCTCATCGCTGAAATGCTCGTGCGCTAGTCGAGCATGAGGACACATAACCAGCCAGAACTTGTGTGTGTGTGTGTGTGTGTGTGTGTGTTTTATCCATTTATCCAGATGATGTTTGTGTGTGTTGATGTTCTGTGTACTGTCTGCCTCATTCATGAATTTGAGTTCCAGAAACGCCTTTATGTTCCATTTGAATTACACAGCCACATTTTCTGAGACCAAACGCATCAGATCAAATGTAGAAGCGGACTGTTCTTTGACTTGTGCGACGCCGCATGCACTGCATGTCAGAGCAGCAGGAGCTTGGCTTTGTGACTTTAAGCACTTCAGACCCATTTTCTGTGACTCAAACTGTACGGGCTGATATTCTAGTGCCAAATGAAGCTGATTTTGATGCATCATTTAGCTTGGTTCTTGTTTATGGAAATATGAAATCTATTTAATGTACTTCAAACTGAAAAGAAATAAATGTAACCAGATTTCTTGGCCGGAATCTTTTGTATTTTAGTTTTTTACATTTACATTTACATTTAGTCATTTAGCAGACGCTTTTATCCAAATAATAATAATAATAATAAATAAAATAAAAAGAAGATAAATATAGATAAAGTAGAATTAAAATAGAATAGATAGTGCTAGAGTTAGAGGGTCAAATAAAGGTGGAACAGATGTGTTTTTAGTCGATTCTTGAAGATGGCTAAGGACTCAGCTGCTGGGATTGAGTTGGGCAGGTCATTCCA